TTCTCCAGGTGGATCACATTTAGCCTAAACTCTAGGGTATGACCTGTCTGTCTTGGGTGGCCCTGCACAGCACAGCTCATAGCTTCTTTGAGTTGTTCAAGCCCCTTCGCCATGACAAGGCAGTGATCCATGAAGGGGTGTATAGTGGTAGATGTCCCATAACTCTAGAACTCAGGGACATCCAGTGAAGTGGAATGATGGAAGATTCAGGACAGACAAAAGGAAGTTCTTCTTCACACAGTGCCAGGTTAAACTATGGAATATGCTCCCACAAGAGGTAGTGATAGCCACCACCTTGGGTGGCTTTAAAAGAAGATTAGACAAATTCATGGAGGAGAAGGCTATCAATGGCTACTAACTGCAATGCCTATGTTCTGTGTTCCCTGGCAGTAGGTCTTTGTTGTGCTCAGGTCCTGCTTTTGCACTTCTTGTAGGCATCTGGTGTGCCACTGTGAGAGCAGAGTGCTGGACTTGATGGGCCATTGGCCTGATCCAGCAGGGGTGTCCTTATGTTGTTATGAAAGTGCAGGTGGGAGCAAGTAACGTCAGGTTCCTTCAACAGCCAGTTCCAGGCCAGGAGATTCAGCTGAAGAGCAGCAGTTTGAACATCAGATAGCCCTATTTCTAATGTGCTCTGCCTGCATTGCACTGCTTCTATTCCATTCATCAAATTTAAACATCCCACCAAACTTTGTTGGCTATATATGAATATGCATGAACGCTTAACCCGGACAGGGATTAGTATTCAGGAGCTGAATCTGGGCAGACTTCCAATTAAAGGTATTATTTTACGACGCACACTTAAACATTTGCATCTGAGCTGATGTCAAAATGATCTAAGCAGTAACTACACAAGACATAACTAGACACAAAGGTGCATTTAAAAAAGCCTTCTGGTGGCTGCTTTGATTAAGGGAAAACAGGTTCGTTATGAAACAGTTTTCAGCAGTTATGTGGAGGAAGGTGGAGGGGAGGGCATGCTTAACTCTTACCAATTATGCCGCTTTTACACTGTAAATGTATTAAGCTTATTTTCCCAGTGCACAGAGCTCTAGGTGCACATTTGAACCACCACTGCCACCTGAGGTGCAGGTGGCCTCTGTGGCTAGGAGTGCCCATGTCCAGCTTCTGCTGGTACCCTCCAGACAGTCTTTCCTTTCTCCTCTTTCTGTAAAAATTGCCAACATAACAAGACATTAGAAACACCAAAAAAATAAAGATGCCAATATCTATTGCTATTAGTAATGTTTCTGTTTAGGTATGAGCAAATCTGTCACTTTGGTTTCTCATTTTCCCTATCTTAAGTTTTCTCCACATTTCCACATTAGCTTGCATTTTTAATCCCCTCATGAATATTCAGCAGCAGATATTTGTGCCAATTTCTCCCAACATATACACGTCTGTCCCCAATTTTGCCCATTTTTTTTTTTTTGCAAAGCTGTTTTCCCCAGCATCATGTGTTTTTATATGTTCTTTTCACAAATATATGCATACTTTACCCTAGTACATGTATTTTTGCACACATGACATGGCTGGAGAACTTCACTGAGGAAACAGAAGTGCAAAGTTCAAAGGTTAGCTGTATTTCAGTCTGTGTATGGTTTCTGAAAGTGTTAATTGGGTAGGTTTGCCTTTAAATGGTAACTGAATCAAATTTCTCCCCCATACCTCTTAATAATACAATGTCTCCAAAGCTGGTGGATATAAAGGGTTTGGAATGCCTTTTTACATGATCACCATTTTTTCAGTGTAGCATGGATCTCCTTGTGAATCTGTTCAAACCCAGCCGTATACAACTGTATTTCTGGCAAAGCCAGGTGCTCCTCAGTGACTGTGTCAAGTAGGTATTATTACACAGCAGCTGAGTTTTTGATTGCCTGATGTCTCAGCAATTCACATTCTGGGTGGCCATGTGATTTTCATATTTCCATCTGCATTCTGCCAGCCCAGAGGAAGCCAAGGTCACCAATTGCTCTGGGAATTTTCCTTTCAGGACAGACTGCCTGACTGGTTGCTCTAGTGTGCAGTATCTTGTATCTTATAAGCAGACAAACCTCCAAGTTGAAACAGTCTGGGGGTATATGAGCTTTTTCTTTCTTCCTAAAGCTTTTTTTCTAAAATGTCTTCCTGCATCCTTAGAAGCCTTACCTTATGAGAAAATAGCAGCGGATTTTGTAAACCGAGTTTCCACACTGATATGGTCACTCTATGAAGAAATATGAACTCTTTAACCTTTGCTCTTTCCTCCATTCCCAATTTGGGGACCTTTTGCTATATGTGGGTCATAGTGACGTCAGGAGAACATCTGGGCTCTAAGGATTTTCCCACTGGATGAATGTGTGTCTTTTTTCCCTCCACCGCCATTTAGAAAGTCTACATCTGTCAGATACTGTTTTTAAATGATGCCAAATTTCTTTACAGTTTTAGTCTGTTTGTTAAGCCTGCAAGAGACCGTCAAGGTTTTACTGTCTGTGTTTATATCACAATTCAACCTGAGAACCACATTCCCTTCTAGACAACTTGCCAGGGGCCACATGCAAGTGGTGGACGAGGCCAGTGGCAAAAGTGGCCAAAAACCACATGAAGATTTTTGCTGTGTACAGCAGACATTTTGTGCACTCTGCACTGCTCTCCTCCATCTAGACAAGCAAGAGGCATACTCAGAGTTCAAGGACACGTTCTGGTCTGGCAAAAACCACTCAAGAAGGGTATAAAGTGGGCCTGGTGAGGGGTGTGGCTGAGGAAGGGGTCTCATGGGCCAGATAGAGAGGCCTGTAGGGTTGCATTTTGTCCCTAGACCTGAGGGTCCCCATTCCTGGCATACAGTGCTGACAGCCCAGTGGACTCGCATAGAACCATACCCTCCAACATGTTCCAGAGGAAAACCAGGATTTGCATCTTTTGGGGCCACACCAGTTGCATGACCCGCACAAGAGCATAGCACCTGAAAACGCATGTCTTTCAGGGCTGTGATTTCGTGTAAGAGCATGGCCCCCCAAAACAGGATATCCCAATCAAATCAGGACAGTTGAGGGGTATTTGGAAGAGGGCAGAGATCCACTCTTGCTCTCACTCCCAGTTTAAATCTTCACTGGCCCTGCTTCACAACCTGAATGTTTTTGCCTGGCTGAATGTGTCCTTGAAGTGTGATAATGGCTCTTGGTTTTCTGGATGGGGGCTAGATAGAGAGTGTGTGTGGAAAACACCCTCCTGTACAAAGGTAACAATTGCCTGTGTTGCTCTGTCCCCATCCTCAATTTGCACTTGGCCCTCAGAAGGTTGCCCAGATGGAAATGTGGCCATTGGTCTCAAAAAGGTTCACCACCCCTGCTATATGTATATACAAAGGGGCATGACGCCGTGTCTCACCACCACAGTACACTATGTATGAGCATGGTTGTGTGGGTTAGAGAGAGATGCCTCATACAAAGGCAGGATTGTCTAGAAATTTTACACAAGTAGAGGGAGCATGCATAGCTTGGCTCATCTTAGTATCCCCTCGTTATTTTCATTTGATTTCTCCTGGAGGATGTCCTCAGCCGAGTAATATGTAATCTAAGATACTTGGATCCTTGTATTGTCTGCACAGCTACAACTATAAATCACAAAGTCTTAGACCTGCGCTCCATTATAGAGTTATAGAATGAAATCGTTTCTCTCTTCTCCACTTCCCCCTGGAGAACAAAATAACTATACCACACAGTTAATTTGTCAAAGGGATGTTGCAGAATTAAAAGAATGATTTTTCCTGCAGCTACTTGGAACGCTTTCTGTGCCCCATGCTCAGCTGATCTGCTCTTGAAATATTGTTTTAGTACTTGGAACTCTTGAGTTAAGGCAAAATCAAAACACTCATTGTACTCTGCTAAGCCAATGGGTCCCTGTTTAACCATTCCCTCCTTAATGATATTACTTCATGCTGCTTAATTGCTTGGCCTGCAGTCTTTTGCAAACCCATATCCAAATGCAAGATTTTAACTCACATAACTTTAAACATAATATTCAATGCGGATCTTGAAGAGTTGGCTGTTCCTCACGTATTATTCATCAAGGAAGACATTCTGGCACAGTTTTTAATAAATGCTGTCTTACCTTTAGGAGTTAATGACCTATGACATTCCTCAGAAGGAACAGAATGTTTCTACTCAACTTGCAAAACTCAACCCTGGGAGAATACCCATTGTTTCCCCGCTGATACACCATGCTTAAGACACCTACAGCTGATCTTTAATTGGGTTTTCATCGGGCTATGGGTGGTGCCGAGAAGCTCTCAGCAGAAGCTGGCAAAGAAACTGATTCCATGTTATTGTTGGACTTCCATCTCACTGCTTGAAGTTGGATTTTGCAAGGACACTCTAACAAAGCAACAGCCTATCTCAAAGTCATTTGTCGAATCCACCAAATGCAGAAACATTTTGAATTAAATCAGGATTCCCTTTGCACCGTCTGAATCCTGTGATTTCACCTGGCACATTTAAGCTACGGAATATATATTAAGGTTGTGGTTTTAACATAAGAAGAACCCTGGTAAATCAGACTGGAGGTCCATTTGCACTGCCACCTTCCTTCTCTTCCCAAGAATGACAACCTTTGGGAAGCCACATGAACAGGGCATGAACAGGTCTCCCCTGCTAGCAATCCCTAGTATGTCATGTTTTAAATCTTGTTAAAAATTGGGCTCTGGTCTTGCTGTGGGAAGAGTTATGAACATAAGTAGCTGCCTTATACTGGGTCAGGACCATAGGCACCAGCTCCAGGGGGGCGAAGCACAGTGGGCCTCCTCTATCTTGGGGGGGGGGTCCACCCCCTTCCCAGTGTTGAGGTCAGGTGTGGAGTGACATCACTTGTGTGACATCACATGTGTGATGTCAGGACGCCGTGTCCCCCCCCCCAAGTGCTTAAGAAGATAGTGCCTCTGGTCAGGACATTGGCTCACCTAGCTCAGTATTCTCTGCTCTGACTGGCAGTGTCTCTTTAGGGTTTCAGACTTGGGTTTCTCCTGGAGAGAATGGTGATTGAAGCTGAGACCTTCTGCATGCAAAGCAGATGCTCTGCCACTAAGCCACATCCCTTCCCTTGAGTTAAAGTGAGGAGGAATAGGCAACACCAGTGCATTTTTCTGGGGGTACTCAAGGGTTTGCAATACTGTCACATTCCCCCCAAATGTTAAAAGTGTGGCACTTACTGTAACAACTTCATGGTGAGTACTGGCACCTTAAAAAAAAAAAGCATTGGGCAACATTGCCACAGTAGAACCCCCCATCTCTTCCCATGACTGCTATAGAGTGAAGGTCTTCTTCTCCAGGGGGAGAACAGGGGGAGTGTGTGATGAAGGTAGATGGAATGGTACACCATCCTGGATAATACTTAAGCTGGTAATTCAAGCGTTTGCTATTGTTTAAATGAATTCAGCTTCAGGCAAGCATTTTGGATTTCAAGTTGAAGGTGGGATCTGAACTATGCATACAAAACTGGGCAGGGGAGGCAACTTGGTCAGAAGGCCCATTTTCTTTTTCTCTCTCCCCCTTTTCTTTGTGACAAATAAATAAACCAAAACTTTGGCCCGGGAAAAGGGAGTCTTTGCCGTTCCATGCTCTCCCTCCCTCCTGAGTAATATGTAATGAGCGGCTCTTGCTGTTATCTCAGCCAGTCATCTTCTCTGTAGGAAGAATGGATTTAATTATATCACAGTTTCCAGTTTTATTGATGCTCGGACAATGTAAGCATTAAAGTGAAATACTATGCCAAGTACTTTAGAGGCGACCGAAATGTTTCCTGTTATTGTGTTGTAATGGAGAGTGAAGTTACACAGGACCCTGTCTTTAATGACTCCAGCAGCAAAAATGTCTACTGCACTCCCAAATCCATGGCTTTATGCAGATATCCTGAATTCTAGCTTGCTATTAGGATTTATAGGTATCAATATTTGATGTGGTGCAGAAAGACTCTAGGACTGAGGACCTTTCTCTCCCCCTCTTTCTTTCTGTTTTACATATATATCCTGCCTTTCTTCCATTGTAGAACAAGGACCAGACCTAGCATTATTCAAAGTGAAGCAATTGCCTTAAGAGGCAGATGCTGGGGGCACCAGCACCAGCCCTTAGTTGTTCCTCCCGGCCATTCTTGGCTGTTGGGAGGACAGAGATAGCCTTAACCCTCAGGTTTGGTGGAGGAAACTATCCCATCACTAGTGTCCAAATTCCACCTGCTGGTCCAACCTGTGGCTTCTGTATGTGTCCTCCTTGGGCAGGAAAAAATGTATTGAACCATCCCTGCAGGCAACTCAAAATGGTATTTATGTGGTTCCAAAGTGGTTTCCCATCCAAGCATAGACCAGACCCAGCTGGTGGAGACCCCACTTGCATTTATCCTAAGATACCTGATTCTGTATGCAATTTTTAATTTTTAATATGGCATTGTAGAATATCATCACTGAAATGTGATACAATTATAATAAAATATAAAATCTACAAAACAGAACAGATGACCAAGAATTATTTCTGTTGAAAATGCTTCTCGAAATAAAAATGTTTTTGTCAGGCGATGAAATATCAGGATTGTAGGTGCCTGCCTTATTCCAGTGAGGATGTGGGTGGCGCTGTGGGTTAAACCACTGAGGCTAGGACTTGCCGATCAGAAGGTCGGCAGTTCGAATCCCTGCGATGGGGTGAGCTCCTGTTGCTCGGTCCCTGCTCCTGCCAACACAGCAGTTCGAAAGCACATCAAAAGTGCAAGTAGATAAATAGGTACCGCTCTGGAGGGAAGGTAATGACTGGCCATGACTGGACCTAATGGTCAGGGGTCCCTTTACCTTTACTATTCCAGTAGTGGCAGTGTTGCAAATTGCTGGTGCCACTGGTGGCAAGATTTTTAGTTCACACAGAAATGAACTGAGATAAACTGTGAAACAGTCAAACTGGGGAGAATGACAATGATCTGGCCAGTGTTTCAAGGGACAAAGCTGTCTTTGAGGTCACCTGGTCCTATGCCGTTTAGAGTTTTCTATGTAATAGTAAAACCTGGTAGTTAGCCAGTTATATTAGCCAGTGCCTAGTATAATATATCACCCAATATAGACATTATTATTTTTTTTTGCAGACATTCCCCCCCTAATATTTGTGCATGTTATTTTCACAGACCTATGCATTTTTATGTGCAATTTCCCTGGTCACAAGCATTTTGCATGCATGCTTTTTAGCTGAAGAGCTACATCACTGAATATGGAGAAGTGCAAATTTCAAAGAACTGCTAGATCTCGGAAAGTAATTAGGTAGATTCATGTTAAAATGTGAGGTGAACCAGATTTCTACCTCCACCCTCGTCTTACAGGCTCGTGCACAAACAGCCAATTTCTCACTGGAGGGGAGAAAGTCAAGCGAGCAAGCGAGCCAGGCGTTACACAGTAGTCCCTGTGTTTGCACTGGCTAAACCCTTTTTATCTCACATTCATAAACACAGGCTCTCTATGTGATATAAAACACATTTAGCTGTCACTGAAAGGCGGTGATTTATGGAGCAGAGTTGTCCCTAAGAGGGTAACAAGGCTTGGTGCTTATTTTGGCAGGTGCACTAATTCAAACTGCGGAGCAGCCCGGAGAGCCTCGAACATTAATGACAAAAGGTTAATGATTTTTCTCTTTTCCCTTTGAAATATTTATTCGGTTTATGCGCACAAGCCTCATACGTGACCCCAAACAGAGCCAAGCAAATGTCTCCCCCTTTCTTTTTTTTGCCTTGATTTTGGCAAAGGCACCATTTGAAGGAAATATTATTTTAGTTTCAGAAACGGCTTAGAGAGGCTTCAGCATCCAGGGATAATGAAGGGATAGGTCTGCAGAGGTTTGCCATTCCAAGAACGCTCACTTTTAAAAGCAGATAAATCACTCAAAGGTTTGCATGGTCCCTTTGGGCTACATCGCTAATACAAACGTAAACTGGTTTTTAAACTGGTTTAACTAGCTGAAGTCTCCTCTTACCATCACCACCAAGGAACATTGCAATCTGCCACGTATGTTCAGATATGTTCAGGGAATCCTCTGCTGCCTCCAGCTTCAGAGGTAGGAAACATAGGAAACTGCCTTATACTGAGTTAGACCATTGGCCCCATCTAGCTCAGTATCGTCTACACTGACTGGCAGCGGCTCACCAGGGTTTCAGGCAGGAGTCTCTCTCAGCCCTGCCTGGAGATAAAAGGGGTTAAACCTGGGACCTTCTGCATGCAAAGCAGATGCTGGACCACTGAGGGATGTCAGGTGACAACTGGGAAGAGGGCCTCTGTAGGGTTGGTGCCCTGTCCATTGAGAGTCAGTGTGGTGTAGTGGTTAGAGTGGGGGACAAGGACCTAGGAGACCAGGGTTCAAATTCCCTTTTGGTCATGAAGCTCCCTGGGTGACCATGGGCCAGGCATAACATAGCTCAAAGGGTTGTTGTGGTGATTAAATGAAGGGAGGAAGAGAACCATGTATGCCACTTTGAGCTCCTTGGAGAAAAAAGTGAGATATAAATGCAGCAAGCAAAGGAAGGAAGAAAGGAAGAAAGAAACAGCATCCCAGGACAGGTTTCGCTGGTGCTGAATGCTTTGATCATTTAGGCAACAGGTTGAAATATTTTTCTTCTTCACTACATAGTGACTAATGGCTGTTACTTTTATTGGGTCTGTTTTCTGTAATGCTGAATTGACATGTTTCCTGTACCACCACTCCAATTTCACCACTTCATATGTAAGTTGAGGCAATTTTCAGGGTGTGTATGGAGGTAAAAGCTGCCAAAAACTGTGACTTTTACAAAGCTCTACCTTGGATACACTCCTTGGGGTTTTTTTTATATACTGCTCAATGCTGGAATGGACTTCCAAGCAGTTTACAAATTTAAAAACCCATTTGCACAAGCCTTATGTTGTAAACATTCATAATCAAAACATGCAATTAAGCAATCCCATTAAAGCAGCACAGAAATTAAAACAGGAGAGTCAGGTCAAGAGATCAACTGAAATGCTGACTGGGGGGTGGGAGGAGGTGAAAAATCTTGTCCTTTAGCTCAGGTAGAAAAATTCCTTTGTCCAGCCCTGAGCAAAACAATTTCTCATGTTTGTGTGCAATTGTTGTCGCCCTACAACAGTCCCTGTCTCATCAGGTACTGCTAATAGCCAGTTCCAGAGTTCTGTCTCCATGAAACCAACTGAGTCCTTCCCTACACGTGCACTGCCCCCCCCCCATACCACAACCGAAATAAAATTTACAGTATCTTGGCCAGCAGATGTAAGTAGGTCATTCCTAATGCACTTGGAGGCTGCAGAGTCCCCATTACGAACTGGACAGGAGCCAGAATAACATCTGTCAAATTAATCACTGTAGATGAAGAGCCGTCAAAAGTTCTGCGGCAACCATCTTCTTGTTAACCTCTGGCAAGGAAAAGAAGCTTTGGAGACAGACTGATAACGTGTGATTTTTTCCTAGAAAGTCTGGGCTTTTGGAATCGCTCAAGACTCAGAAAGGCCAGAACTGCATCGTCGTTCAGGCTGACGTCTGGCAGAGTGCGCTCTGTGAACTGAGGGAGTTCACAGACCTTGTCACACCTCTCTGATTCACTGACTGGCCAAGCCCACATGTGGGCCTACAGATAAAAGGCCCATTTAAAATCCTGACATGCTGCTCAGTGAGGTGAATGTGTCTCCGGAGTAAGGCTGGGGAGACAGCACACTCTGCTGCGCACTAGGGTCGACATGTGCCCCGCTTTACAGAGAGGAGCCATTTGAAAGGCTGTCAGAGAACAGTTCTCTATTCGAAGAAATCCTCTATTTGAAGGGCTGACAAGTCCAAGTCCCCACCTGCATTTAAGGCACAATCATACCACTTTGAGCAAGCATGGCTTCTGCCAAAGAATCCTGGGAACCATGGCTTCTTAAAGGTGCTGAGAATTCCCCTCACACAGCTACAGTTCCCAGAGTGGCTGCTGGGGTGCCAACTTGATTAAATATTGGGGGGGGGGGGGAAGCCACACCCTGCATGACTGATCACATGATGTGGGACACACTCTCCATCAACTTTGTGGGGACCCAGCCCCCTCAAATATTTTA